TTGGCCTGGTGGCCCTTGTTGCGATTGCCCTGGCAGCAGATGACCCCGCCACGCCGACTGATCCCAGCACTCCCACTGATCCCACCACTCCTACTGATCCTAGCACGCCCACTGATCCTAGTACGCCCACTGATCCCGCCACACCCACTGATCCCACTACTCCCACTGATCCCACCACTCCCACCGAGGCCACTACTCCGAGCACCGGGGCATCCACCACCGCACCCACTACAGCTGGTGGTTCGACATCCAGTAAGAAGACGAAAACCGTTACTCACTACAAAAGGAAGATCAAGAGACCAGCCAAGGTTCGCAAGGTCCGCCGAACTGGTGGCGCTCGTAGGCGCAGGAACCGATCCAGCCGGAATTAAAGAAGACACACCTTATCGTACCCTGCAGATTCTATTTGACCCATTTATTCCTCGCAATTTTAGTTTTCTATAATTTTAGATATTTTTATCAATAACTGCAATATTAAATGATTAACTGATTATCAGATTTCCATATTTTTATTGACTTTGAAAAGTATTTCTCTTTGCAATTTAGTAAAATAAACACGAAAATTGTATGAAGCTTTTGTTCGGCAAATTCGTCAATTTCGATTCAGAAGCTTATGACCTTTGACACTGAACAGCAGAGTTTTGGTGCAGTCTATGATAATACTGCATACTTAGTTTTTGTTTTTAATGTATAGGATTTGCAATGTCACGCTTTAAAAAAGTTCACAAGACTTAATCGTTTGATTTTAATTATTCTTGATTGCTCCATTTTGTTGGCAGGCTGACATAAGATAGATTAGATGACATTTTTTAGATTTCCTTTGCTGTTGATATTATATATAAAGTGTGTGTGTTTTTTTATTCATGTTCTACTCTGTTATTAATGGTAAAATACAAAAAATAATTTTCCCTAAAATAGTTTTCATCGTAAGAAGTCGGCTTAAAATAAAAATATAGGGATAAGAATAGTAAGCCTTGCTTTTAATATGCTAATAACCATTTATTGCAATGTGAATATTTGCTTCATCTTAAAAAGCTTAAGAATAGGTTAACTGGAGCACGGCTTTTTATAGTTGTTCTCTTTCTTAATGTTTTAAGCCTGGCTGAATTTGCACTTGTCAATAATTTTTGTTTTGATTATAGTCAGATAGCTGATTAATTGTAAGACCAATTAATTTCTTCATTTAATATTGCGAATATAGTTAAAACTTAAGTACAAATAAAATAACAATAGGGTTCAAAAAGTGCTCATGGGTCGTTTAGCCAAATCGTTCGGTTCTGCGGGGCTCAAATTCGTATGTATTGCCTTAATTCCGGCGGGATCGGTTCCGGCGTGTGCGGTCCTTGTCGGCACCTCCGCGTTTGCGGTGGATCTTTCGGACCCTGGCTGGTCGGTTGATCTTGCGCTTGTAGTGCGTGACGGTAGCCTTCTTTTTGCCACCTGGTGCCACGGTGCTGGGAGCTACGGTGGTGGTTGCAGTGGTGCTACTGGGTGTGGTGGCCGTCGCTGGATCCGAAGGGGTGGTGGGATCAGTGGGCGTGGAAGGATCGGTGGGCGTGGAAGGATCGGTGGGCGTGCTAGGATCAGTGGGTGTGCTAGGATCAGTGGGCGTGCTAGGATCAGTGGGCGTGCTAGGATCAGTGGGCGTGGCCGGATCATCTGCCAAGACAGTCGCCAAAAGGACCACCAAACCAAAGAAAATAGCTACTTGGGATCGCATCTTGGATTATGTCTTCTGATACTGGAATCGTTGTGCCTTTTCTGCCTAAAGCCCGAGTATTTATAGCCAAATCGTTGGAAGATGTTTCATACTTGTTTGTTTAGGCACAACACAAAATTATGCCATATGCCATCGAGTATAATTTAGAACTAGGTTGTTAATACAGAGATTGTAGCCACCTTTTTAGTAGGCCTATAATAGTACAATAGCATTTGTTTAAGATAAATATTTAATGAAACCCAAATAAACAGTATGTGACTTTGAACAGGTCCAAATTAAGAGCCTATTATTGTACAAATAAATCTATTGATCTTGCTGAATAAAAATTTCCACAAATCCACTTTCAGAGTCCTCGCCGTCGGGAAGTCCCAAGAAGCAGCGCCGCCCATTGTCGCTGGTCAGCGAAGGAAAGCCATTGCCCGCCATCGCCGAAATCACCGAACTGGTCTCGCTGAGCGACAACTCGCCCAGGACCTTCAAGCTGGCCCCTTTCGGACTGGCGGCCAAGAACAACAATGCGCCCGGCGAGGAGTACAAGATCGATCCGCTGCTGATCAAGAAGGCCGAGGACCTGCTGGGCAAGGCGAGCCTGGACAACACCGATCTGACCATCACCAGTCTGAACTTCATCGACGAGCAGCAGCAGCAACAGCAACAGCAGCAGCAGCAAAACGGACGCCAGTTGCAGGAGTGCTTCAAGCGGGTGCAGTCGCCCAAGGATGAGCAAAAAGTATGGTCAAGTCCTCACTAATAAACAAGTAGGCAGGGGAGATGTACATATACTTATATAAAAATACCATTTAAAATTTAATTTTCTTGAAGTGATTCCACTGACAGACCACCAAAATTGCTATTAAATCGAAATGATTTTAAGAATACATAATAGCCTCTTAAATTCTACATAAGAACAGATAATATTAGAAGACACAATTAAAACGCTTCTTCATATTTTAATAATGCATATAAGCGCTTCAAATCCTAACTTATGAAATACAAAAAAATAGTTATAAAAATAGTTATAGTAATCAAGATTTTATCACATTTTATTAAAAAATACTTATCCATTTCCAGCACAAGGCGAGTGCCAACGGAACGGATTCGGGAGTCGGAGGTGCCAAGGCCACCAATAACAACCTGCAGGTGGTGGAGAGCGGCGGCAGTCTTGACCTGCTGATCAGCTCCACCCTATCGCCCAATTCCAGCAAGGTGCCGTTGATCGAGAGCAAGGAGGCGTTGAACGAGCAGGAGGAGGAGCTGAAGCGAACGACGGCGGGCGGTCGAAGGGCCAGCGGTGCCGAGGAGACCCAGGAAATCTCCATGCTCTTCTCGTTCCTGCAGATCCTGACAGCCACCTTCGGCAGTTTCGCGCACGGCGGCAATGATGTGAGCAACGCCATCGGCCCACTGATCGCCCTCTACATGATCTACCGCGAGGGATCGGTTATGCAGCAGGCGGAAAGTCCCATCTATATTCTGATCTATGGCGGCGTTGGAATCTCCGTGGGTCTCTGGCTGTGGGGACGGCGTGTCATCGAGACCATTGGCAATGACCTCACCAAAATCACCTCATCGACGTACGTTTTTATGGTCTTTTAAAATCATATTTCAAATTCAAGTACATAATAATTTTAAGTTTAAATTTGAGTTTAATTATGAATATGAATATTTTACATTTTAACTAACTTAAATTTTTCTATTTATCCATAATATATTTTTATACATATGTACATACATTAACTAATTGCTTTTGTTTTGTTTTACAGTGGATTTACCATTGAAGTCGGAGCCGCCATAACCGTACTGCTGGCCAGCAAAATTGGCTTGCCCATTTCGACTACTCACTGCAAGGTCGGTTCGGTGGTTTTCGTGGGACATGTGAGTGCAGGTGGTCGCAAGAAGGACGAGACGAAGGATCGGGATCAGGATCAGGCGGGAATCGATAAGGATGGCCAGAACAATGACGCGCCCACGGCAGATGGCAGTGTCGATTGGCATCTGTTCAGGAACATTGCCTACGCCTGGATTGTGACTGTGCCGGTTACGGCTCTCCTTAGCGCCGGAATGATGTACGTGCTCTGCGCCATTGCCGTGGACGAAATGGGCGGGGCCTAGGCCTAGAAAGGGGAAGCACACAGGATGCCATTCAATTATTAATTGTAATTGCAAAACCCAAATAACGTTTCGTAATTGTACAAGTTGGAAAACACAAAACTTAATATTAAACACGCAAATGGTAACTCAAGAAAAAAAGAGAAGAAGAAAATCTTAACTAAATTACTCGCCTAACGAAAGCATTGTATTTAGCTCATAGAACGTCTCTGAGTCTAACTGATATTAATATTATTTAATATGTGTACGCCAAGCATGTCGTGATTTGATTCAATATTTATACATTTCAATTTATGTTTATATCCAAATTGCACCTATTTTAAAATACATTTGAAATTCTTTTGTAGCCCTAATCCGAACCCACTAAAACTATTTTACACCACTCAATAGAGCAGAGCAAAACACTTGAATAAAATACAAACTATGTACAACAGAAAATGTTTATAAGAAATGGTCAAGACCAATTTTAATTCGATGCTTTTTATTTTCAATTTCTAAGATTTGTGTTTTATTTGTGTTGTATTTTGAACTATCAAGTTTGAAATTTCTCTTTGAGATTCCTTTTGACACGGTAAGATTGGTTTAAAGTTCGGTTACAAATTAATACAAAACTTAACTTATGAGGCTCTCCAGTCCGTTTTAAATTTACATTCCATTGAGAGCCAGTTCGTATAGTATTTCACTATGTAGATATACGAAAAATAAATACAAAGTTATGACACCCAAAATTCGTTTTATTCGCGAGCATGGCTTTCATTGTTGGTCCATTAATGGTTAAATTTTATATAATTATATATATATATAAATACATAGTTAAAATATACTTTAAAACAGACGATTTCTTTCTGGTTTTTGTTTAACTATTGCAACGAACTGATTTTTTAAGTTATACTGGCCAAATGTCATTCTTTTGGCTGTGCGAAGCCTAAAAAATCAACTTGAGGTTCGATTTTTTTCCCCTTAAAAAGTTGTATAATAATGCTCATAAAAATTAATAATGTTAATATCGCTAGAGTGTGTTTGGTAGCAATAACTTGTTAGCCAACTTTTTGGCTGAGTTCAAAAGGCCAAGAAGCCCCAAAGAAAGCTTTCTCATTCACTTAAAAGCTTTTATAAACAAGCTTTTGAGCGCGGGGCTCTTGATGGAATTGGAATCGACGAGAGCCCCAACTTTGGGTTAGTTGAGTTTTAAGCTTCGATGCGTACGGTTCGCTTTTCCCGATTCCGTGTAATTGTAAAACCCGGTTTTGTGCAATTTAAACTCGTAACGCCTGCGCATTTTACGAACCCAAAACACCTCGTTCGGAGTGCTAACTTTTTGGGTTTTTTTTTCCAAAAACATACTGTAATTGTGAGAAACTAAAAACTTCGTCTTAATCATTTTTGGATTTACGCATTTGGGTTTGAACTGTTTTGTACATGTTTCTGACCACTTAAAGGTGAGAGATTAATCTTATGACTGAAAATTATAGAGTTATCTTTTAGTTATTTTTTTTCCTGGGCGGCAACTTCCGTCCAATCTCCGAACTTCCCTTCTATTTGACACCTTTCTAGGCCCACTTCCATTTCAATGAATTTCCACAAGTACAAGTATTACTTAATTTCTTTGCTTAATCCGATTGGCGTGCATTGAACTTTTCATCTTTGGGTATTTTCTGCTGTTGATGTTGTAGCCGTTGTTATTGTTTTTTTTTTTTGTTATGGACTTTATTTTGCACCAACTTCTTGTGGTTTATTCTTGTTGTTGCTGTTGCGACTGTTGATTGTTTTTTGTTTTTTTTTTCTCCACCATCTCAGTCTGGCAAACGGCTTGTTCTCATTTTATTTAATGAGTTACCCGGTATTTCAGCCTTTGTTTTGCATTGTTCGAAACCCTGTTTGTTCAATAGGTTTAAAACGTTTTAGCAATTTGTGCCAAAACAAAATTATTAGCAAGTGGATTTGACTTTAATGGGACTTTCTGATATTGCTTTAAGCTTTAATCAATGAAATGCCTGGCTGAAAAGATGTCTTTACTTTGGGTTTTATTAGGATTTATTTCCATTTTAAAATTGAATGAGTATATATAGGTAAAAGAATAAGTACGAGATATAAAAAAACTACTGACGACTTTAGCATACGAAATTCCAAACTTTAAAGCGACATTTTTTTAATGTTGCTCTTTTAGTTTAAAGTTTTTGGTCAAAATTAAATTATGAATAACATTAAAATAGGGAATGATTTTCTGTGAAATTGTAAAGTAAAGTATAAAACTTTTGGTTTTAGTTGAAAGGGTATTTAAACATTCTTGTTCTTTGATTGTTTTTTATGATTTATCAATAATATAGTTGAGTACACTTTTTATAAATATTTTCTTATATTAAAAACATATAATATTGTATAATAAATAAGGTTTAATTATATTAAATTTCTTAAAATAAAAAAATATGAATATAAATCTATACTCCAATACCTAATGAGTAATAGCGTTCTTCCGTTCAAATTCCTTTCTGGGCTTCCAACATAATTAACTCTTTAGCAAGTTAATAACCTGTTCAACTCCAGCCAATCATAGATCGATGTCAAAAGTTTGCGCCCAGCGTGTGCGACCCATTTTTTTTTTTGGCTAGAAAAACCGCCGGACGGTCCATCAAACACCTGTTCGATCTCCCGGACAGTTGACCGGGCTCATTATGTGGCCCGGCTAGCGGTATTCCCCTCAAAAAAGCCGATGCCGACACCTGCAGATAGATAGAAAATCCATTCGAGACCCATTGCGAACCCATTGGAGAACCCAAAACCAAACCCACTCGCGAAAGCCACATAGCCAATTCTGTGCAGAACAAAAGCCAAACGATCGAAGCCATTAAGCCTGGCCAAGAGTTTCGAGTTTCGAGTTTCGACTGGCGGAGCCCAGCCAAAAGTCATTAAAGACAAAAATCTATTGAAAACGGCAAACAACACGCCTTAAAAATACTTTGCTGTCGTGGGGCAAAGGGGGCAAAAACCATACATATTTCTGCTGCACATGGGAGTTTTCGTTTTGGCCAGGTGGATGCCATGGCTGAAACCGCACCGCCCCACACTTTACCTTCCTATTGATCATGTTAATTACGCGCTTATCAGTTCGTTACAAACGTTGGGGTTTCACTGTAGCCTTTGGTAGTCGAATACAACCCGTAATTACACTGGACACTAACTAACCGCTCAAGAGCCAGTCGAATTCCACTGGCGTTCTAATTTCTTCGCTCTCTTTTCGCTGCGATTAATCAAAATGGTATCTATCGGATGCCCGGCTTCCACAATTCATCAGCATGTACGATATGTAACATAACGTATGTACGTGCATTGTAATTACTGGATTCTGCTGGACTGCCTTTGCATATGAGTACATAATGATAACCCTCGAAGCGATCCATTCGCGCTCCATGCCATTTGGCTGTCTCACTTTCTCCTCCTTTTTGCGGCTTTGGCACCAATTGGCGGGAGTGGCCACGCCCCCCGCCCACCGATCACCGACCACCGATTCAATTTGACAATCTATAATAAATATTGATGATAATATTCAGTGTGTCTGAAAGCCAATGGCAATTGTGAGAAATGTAGGTAGAGATTGGTCTAGAGTCGACTTCTTTGGTTGCGGATCAACTTTAATTAAAATAACCATTAATAATATCGGTCACATAGATCTTCAACAAGATCTTGGTTTTTTTAAAATAGTTTCTTCAATATTTATGGTGTACTAAAGCCCACAGCTTGTTTAATGAAATGTTTATTTATGAAAACAACACTACTTAAAAACAATAAAAACAATGTTTATTTTAAAAGATATATCTTGATAAAGATATTATACTGATATCTATATTAAATTGAACAACAAATATTATACATAGTTCTAGTTCAAGATTTAAAAATATGTAGGGGAAAGTATGACCATGTAAATTCTGTCTTAAGATAGCAACATTAAATTGCATAACTACTTCACCTGCAACACAAAAAGCAATAAAAATGTCACCCAAAAGGGGAAACCAAATGCATATTTCCCGCTTGCGTAATATCTCGAAGAAGCCACCAAAAATCGCCAAACTCAAGACACAGAGAGAAATGCTGAAAAACAAGGCGAACATTGAATTGAAAACTCAGAAAAAAAATTGAATACAAAATACACCCAAATAATGGGCACTTTCTAACGCAGCCTGGCTGTTTCCTGATGTCCCGTGGTTTTCCTAGGATTTTCATTTTTCTCATTTGTTTTTGTTTTGTCATGGACATTATCGCCCCGAAAACTCACTTGACAGCCAGACGCCGCCCCTTCACCCCTCCCCTTTTTGCACCATTGTCATTGAAGTCGTCGACTCCATGCGGACCAACTGCATTTCCCACTCAAGACAACATTTCATAAAGTTTATTAAACTTTAACCAAATTGTTAAAGCGTCGATTTGCCCCTCCGCGCTCCCCGAAATGCCCACTGCATTCACTTTTAGTGCTGCTGTAGGCGCTCCAAACGAGTCCATCAACTTTGGCCAGCCTCGGACCAAAACAAACTACCACATTGGCCGGAGTTGGCTCAAATGCAGTGGTAATGGTAATGGCTTTAACCACGGCTCGGGCACAGCGGGGAATTCATATTCGTCGTTTTCCTTGAAGTGGCAAACATTTTCCTCGAACATTCAGTGCCACTCGGATTATTTGCATTCGTGCCGCCGCCCGAGAATCGCAAATTAATTTACATTTTGCGTAAAACTGTCAAAATGTAAAATCTATTAAGCGATCACTTCCTTTAGTGAAAAACGCGATTGGGAAATGCATGAAAATCAATCCACTCTTATGCAACGGAAATGGTCAGCTGCGCTAATGCATCGAAAAGCGTCGTACGTTATGACGGAAAACAATTTGGTTTATATTTATTAATATATGATACTCAAATCCAACATGATAATTTTTTAATTATACCCTTGCAGAGGGTATTATAATTTCAGTCAGAAGTTTGCAACGCAGTGAAGGAGACGTTTCCGACCCTATAAAGTATATATATTCTTGATCAGCATCACTAGTAGAGTCGATCTAGCCATGTCCGTCTGTCCGTCCGTCTGTCCGTCTGTCCGTCCGTCTGTCCGTCTGTCAGTCTGTCCGTCTGTCCGTCCGTTTATATGCAAACTAGTCTCTCAGTTTTAAAGCTATCTGCATGAAACTTTCCCAAAAGTTGTCTTTCTATTGCAGGTAGTATATAAGTCGGAACGAGCCGGATCGGACGACTATAGCATATAGCTCCCATAGGAACAATCGGAAAAATAATTGAAAAAAAATTATAACTTTGCTGTTTTTCAATTTTTTGTTTAGTTCTTCGACATATAGCAATGGTTTAATATTTCAGAATTATGGTTTAAATTACATCAAAATCGGACGACTATAGCATATAGCTCCCATAGGAACAATCGGAAAAATAATTGAAAAAAAAATTATAACTTTGCTGTTTTTTAATTTTTTGTTTAGTTCTTCGACATATAGCAATGGTTAAATAATTCAGAATTATGGTTTAAATTTCATCAAAATCGGATGACTATAGCATATAGCTCCCATAGGAACAATCGGAAAAACAATTGAAAAAAATTATAACTTTGCTGTTTTTTAATTTTTTGTTTTGTCCTTCGACATAAAGCAATGGTTAAATATTTCAGAATTATGGTTAAAATTTCATCAAAATCGGACGACTATAGCATTTAGCTCCCATAGGAACAATCGGAAAAATAATTGAAAAAAATTATAACTTTGCTGTTTTTTAATTTTTTGTTTAGTTCTTCGACATATAGCAATGGTTAAATATTTCAGAATTATGGTTAAAATTTCATCAAAATCGGACGACTATAGCATATAGCTCCCATAGGAACAATCGGAAAAATAATTGAAAAAAATTATAACTTTGCTGTTTTTTAATTTTTTGTTTAGTTCTTCGACATATAGCAATGGTTAAATATTTCAGAATTATGGTTAAAATTTCATCAAAATCGGACGACTATATCATATAGCTCCCATACAAATAATAAAAATATATAAAAGAACAATCAAATAATTAAGCTGCAAATCGTCATAGCTTCAATGTTTTTAAACATATACGCAAGTAAATCATAATTTTAATGTTTTCAAAAATATTTAATTCTTGCGATAGCTGCAAGGGTATATGAACTTCGGCTTGCCGAAGTTTGCTGTCTTTCTTGTTTTTCCTTGCTTTAAATCGTAATAATCTAACAACTTATCAATTAACAATTAAGTAACTGTCTTATCAGGGGACAGATTTTAAATTAAAACTTTGAATTATTATTCCTGATCATTTCTAAATTTTAATTGTAATTGGTTTGACTTTACAAATTTATGTCACATAATTAATACAGAAATTGTAAAATTTTTATTTTAATATAAATTAAAGAACTTATTTTGTAATAAATCAAAATAAATTTTCTT